TGGCATGTTAGTCCCTTGAATCCCTTGCTTCTCGAACAGGGGGGGCCTTGAAGTCGGCGGGCCCTGTTCGGTTAACCCTGGCGAGGCAGCGGCTTGACGTGGGGTGCTCTGAACACGGCAGTCGTGTGGAGGCGAGGTCGCCTGGGAACCCGGGGGATGCTGGCTTGGTCGCGCCTCGAACATGCGCCTTACGCAGGAAAGCAGGCCCTTGGGTGTCCACCACATCGCGAGGGCCAGGTGGGGGCCCTGTGGATGTTGGCCAAGGGAGTTGGCCAATTAGTTTCTTTCTATTTTTAGTAGAGATGGGGTCTTGCTCTTGCTCAGGCTGGTCTTGAACTCCTGAACTCAAACGATCTGCCCACCTTGGCCTCCCAGAGTGCTAGGATTACAGGCATGAGCCACTGCGCCCGGCCTGAGAGCAGGTTTTGAAGACAAATTGCTAGCAAGAACATGAAGCAACTTGAGATTTGAAGGGGACAAGGCACAGGGAATGCTGAATGTATCTATTTCGTAATCCGATGAATGTGACAAAAAGACATGAGCAAACATTTCAGCATGTGCTTATGACGTGCAGCTACGTGGATGGAATCGAGTCTAACCTTCCATCTAGTCTCTCTGCTGCCGTTCCAGATGACCGCGTGCATTGAGATCACTTAGGGCCCCATTTCCCGAGGGGTCAGGTGCTAAGCCTGATACACTAATTTCTCCTAAACACGAGTGACTGATGCATTCATGTTAATCCCTAATCCCTTGCTTTCAACAGGGGCCTTGAGTCGGCAGCCTTAACCCTGCGAGCAGCCTTGACGGTGGGTGCTCTGAACACGGCAGGTCTGTTGTGGGGCAGGTCCTGGGACCCGGGGGGATCTGGCTGGTCCCCTCAACACGCCCTACGTCAGAACAGCCCTTGGTTTCCACCACATCGCAGGGCCAGGGTGGGGGCCCTTGGGATGTGCCAGGGTGTACGCAGTGGCCCCTCTGGGCCCATCCTCGCCAGTGCCACCAACCCCCAACTCACGCTGCTGCTTCTGCCGGGCTTTGTCACAGATGGCGGGCCGCAGGTAGATCTTGCGCCCCTCCTCCACAGAGCAGTCGTGGCCGCACACCACCACGCCCAGGCAGGACTTCTTGAGGATGCGGGAGTTGTGGTTGTTGGTGTTGCGCATGGCCCAGCTGCTCAGGTGCCGCTGCGCGTTCTTGTCCTCGCAGCTGTAGATGTGCTTGGCGTAGGAGTCTGGCCACTCCTGGAACACGTCCGTCTTTTTCACGTTCTGCCAGAAACACAGAGAATACTGTGAGCGTTTGAGCCAGAACACACGACCGGCAACCACCGTGGAGTCAGTGGACATGAAGGATGCCTTGGCACTCAGGAGCTGGGCAGGAGAACTTGGGCAAGGACCTACCTGAACTTCATTCTGGCAGCAGGGAGCTGTGAGCACAGCACAACTGCGGCAAAGGGACTGCTGTGTCTGCCAGGCATTTGGTCGCTGGACCAAAATAGGTCATAGCCCCGCTGAGTTCCGCCTGGTTGATGTTTTCTCTAGCCCTGAGTAATGAATGAGCACCTTTGAGGGTGAACTAATGCTCTTATACAATAACTGTGGAAAACACTGTGGTGTGATGGAGAGAGAGTGTCTGGTACCCGCTGTGGTCCCCTTAGTGGGAATCCTATGGGTTCATGCAAAGTCACCAGAGAGGCTGGGTACGGTGGCTCATGCCTGTCATCCTAGCACTCTGGGAGGCCGAAGCAGGTGGATTGCTCGAGGTCAGGAGGTCGAAACCAGCCTGAGCAAGAGCGAGACCCCGTCTCTACTATAAATAGAAAGAAATTAATTGGCCAACTCATGTATATAGAAAAAACTAGCCGGGCATGGTGGCGCATGCCTGTAGTCCCAGCTACTCGGAAGGCAGAGGCAGGAGGATCGCTTGAGCCCAGGAGTTTGAGGTTGCTGTGAGCTAGGCTGACGCCACGGCACTCACTCCAGCCTGGACAATAAAATGGGACTCTGTCTCCAAAAAAAAAAAAAAAAGTCACCAGAGATAAGCGGTGGGAAGAACAGAGAGCCCAGGTCAGAGAGGTCCTGAGGGCCACTTCTTTCCCTCAGTGGAAATTTTCTTCCGTTTTCTCTACCCCCATATTCATGTGCCTCAAACGTGGCAAAGGAGTCAGAAGAACTTATTTTGGGTTTTTTTGGTTTTTTTTTTTTTTTGAGACAGAGTCACCTAAGTTTGACTGCTGAGATTGCCTGATGATTCTTTTTCTAAGAACCAGGCAGGATCTGCCAAATGCTGCCTCTGTGCACCATTGTGGGGCCTAGAAATATGAAGCACAACATCAGTGACTGGCAGTTGGAGCTCACAGCACGCCGGGTGCTGTGCTAGGTGTTTTACGTATATTATCATATTCAGTCTTCACAGAAAGCGAAATACCTTATGCTCTGAGAATTGACTGTCCTGCATTCCTGACCTCTTATTATTATTACTATTATAGTCAAAAACACAACATAAAATTTACCATGTTAACCTTTTATAAAGTACAGTAGTGGTAACTATATGCACATTGTTGTGCAACAAATCTCTAGAACTTTTTCATCTTGCAAACTGAAACTCCCGAGGTTACGCTGGAACTACAGGCATGGCGCACCATGCCCGGCTAATTGTTATAGTACTCATATATCAGTTGGCCCGCCGAAGTTAATTTTCTTGTCGTATTTATAGTAGGAGACGGGCGGGTCTCATCGGTGCCAGGCTGGTTTGAACTCTCGACCTTGACAATGCGCGCCGCCTCGGCCTCCCAAGAGCTAGGATTACCAGTCGTCGAGCCACAGCGCCCGGACGTTTTTTTGTGTTTTTTGAGACAGAGACGTCATCCTAAGTTTGACTGCTGAGATTGCCTGATGATTCTTTTTCTAAGAACCAGGCAGGATCTGCCAAATGCTGCCTCTGTGCACCAGTGTGGGGCCTAGAAATATGAAGCACAACACTCAGTGACTGGCAGTTGGAGCTCACAGCACGCCAGGTGCTGTGCTAGGGTGTTATCGTATATTATCATATTCAGTCTTCACAGAAAGCGAAG